ACTGAATCAGGAAGCACACACCGTTACTCAGAGACTTGTCAATGATTGAATTTGCCGATATGGAGTACCACTGGAATTGCATTGTGACTAAGGCACGAACGAATCGGCTCTGTTCAAGAACATCACTGAACCAATGGACGTTACTAAAACGAGGACTACCCCATACATCCACAGTCGAATGTCGGACTCTGGAAACCAAATTAAGAAGCGTCGTCAAACTGACCGGGACCGACACATATTCCTCCTGGCTTATAGATCCGCCATACATGAGACAACTGTAAGAACACCAGGTTGCCAGCGGACATGACAAAGTATGGCTATATAATCCATCAAGGCGGAAGGGACGCTACCCTAAACTACAAGAGACTTGGGATGTTTCATACACCGTTACTCGAAGCATTAACGACATTGTTTTATCAAATCCAGAAGGGACCTCGGTTAAAAATGAAGATCGTCCATCTTGACCGGCTTGCTCCCTACACAGGCAACGTCACTGATCGAGACGAACAGTATTAGGAGGGGGAACAATGTCACATGTATAGAGGCAACCCAACATACATAGTGATAAAGAAGACCAAGTTTCTAGACGGCATGTACTGGAAAATTCTAGAAAACGTGAAGTCCCTATATATAGTTGTCGCGAGATCAAGTGGAGTTAGTAAGAGTCAGACAGTTCAAGGCGATATAAAGATAAGAAAGAACAATGAAATGACAAAGCGTTTATATAGTGGTGTATTGGTAAGTAAAAGTTGTAAAAGCCTGCGAACGAGTTCAAATACGTGACAATATACATTCGGTAACATTGTTATTCTGAGCATTCAACACTTTCGCCGTCACACAATCTCAGTTATTAGGTTTTTATTATATATATATACTTAAGCTGTAATTGTTGCAATTGTAGATTATGTAAATAAAAGCGTAAATGGTNGTTAAGTTGTTGTTAAGTTGTAAATATATGTTGTTGTTGTCTAGTTTTAATTATTCGTTTTCTAAGTCCTCCTCAAAACCTTCTAACTCAAAGTGCCCCAAACAAACTTACAAAACTTGTAATACTCTTCGTTTAGCTTTTCCTTGAGATCCATTTCCCCTTGCTTTTCCGTTTCCCTTCTTGTAATGTCTTCATTCCTTTTTGTCTTCTTCTTTTTGCTTATTCTTCAGCCAACGCATTTTTTTCCGGGGTGTTAGTTATTATAGCTGTCTTTCTTGTACGTCGTTTTGTAGACGTCTCCAATCTTTCATCATTTGTCTTTACTGGCGTTAGTTGAAGTTCTTGGTCTGTATTCAGTGTCGATGAATTAGTCTAATGAACATTACTCTCATTTGTTATCTGCTGAGGTTGTTCATTATTCTCCAGTGATATTAAAGTCATCAAAGGCTCCAACTGCACATCGTTCTAAGACAACATTTGATCCTAAGCAGTCATCATATTGCTACTAGAAGGCTGGGGGAATTCTTCAATTGGCACAGCTTGAAATAAAATAGTTTCTGACAATGGCCGATCTGTCATGAAAGATGGAGCAAAATCTTCGTCTATGAAAACATCGGACTTATAAGAACATATTCCAGTCTTCTTGAATGCGTTCATAATATTTGTAGAAATTACTGCTAAGGGCCATGTTGTTTTAAAAATTCCAGAAATTTCGTAGATTGACAGTTTTTCACGGGTTGTTACGGAGCCAGTTATCTTGGGCTTTAACACAGTGTGTTTTACAAGGCCCATTGAAGCCAACATCCAAAGGCTGCAGCATATGGATACAGTGAGAGGGAAATGACAACATGATGATGGAATTGGCTTTAACTTTTTCAATGTGTGATGAGTGATTTTCTAATAATAGCAACACCTGTTCTTCTGGGGAGGGTTTAGTAAATTTTATGAAATGATCTCAGTTAGGAATTCAGTGGCAGTCATCCATCCTGAGCTATTCCCAGCTCTGACTAACTCAGGAGGGCATCTTGTAAAAACAAGTCCTTATACTTTAAACATGGAAACACAAACCTTGGATGCTAGCTCTACAGCAACAGTGCCGCGCTCAGCACCGATATGTTTTTTACCTTTTTGGGTCACTATCTTCTATGGCTTCAGCACAGTCGTTATTCTAGTCTCATACATGTTGCAAATTCTTGATGTTATCAATTTATGTCTTAGTAGAATTTTGCAGAGCTTAGTAAAAAATTGATTCACATTATGTCTGTTAAATTCAGATGCACGTCCTACACTTTGCTTCTGGGGTTATTCCTTTTCATAAATCCAATGAACCAGCTAGCTTCAGTTTCTCCATTCTTGTGCCATAAAGGGGTAATGTTTTCCAAAGAAAATTTCACTGTGGATTCATACAGGAGTTTTCGCACCTCTCCGGACAGAAGACCGAAATATATTGAGTAACACTTTAAAACGTAGTTTGCTAATTTTTTTGCCTGTTCCAAGGTAAATACTAACCTGGGTTTATAACTTATGACAAGAACCTTGTCAACTTTCAATTTTATATCAAATCGATGTAACGTCATGTTAGCTATTCTATCAATGGCTTCGCTTGCGGAAGCCTTAACCGCAACGAGCGAACTGCGTTAAACGAATTTCAAACTAGCCTAATCGAATTCCACAACGTCACCGACGATTATATCGCTCCCAAAAGCAATTGGAAAGTGATCCGCTTTCTTCGAAACAGAACCTTACACCTTCCGCCGTTAAATCTCAGATGAGGAAAAAGCTGCAATCTTAGCAGACTCCCTCTGTCTTCAGTACTTCTCACTTCCCACCCCACATCTTGCCGACTATCACGAGCGTACCAAAACGGTCTCATAAAACTTCGCCCCTAGTGTTTCCTACTTTAAACACACGTCCCCCCATGAAATCTTCCTCACCATCCGTTCTCTGGAAAAGAGAAAAGACCCTGGTGCGGAATTCCCAACGGTGTCCAAAAAGTTCTACCTTCAAAACATCACAAACGCTATCATGGGCTCCACCACTTCTTTCTGGTCTAGAAAGAAGCCACCGTCATCTGTCTCCCCAAAAAAGGGAAGCCTCTCACCTCTCCCTCAAGGCCCATTACACTGCTTAGTTAGCTGAATCCATCCTTTTGGAATGGCATCTTAATCACGTGGGGCGAAACAACGGTTTCCGCAGGCGGCACGCCACCTGCTATTAACTTTTTCAAGTTTCCGAACACATTTCTAACAACCTTACTAACCATCTCCAAGCTTATTGCACTCGATACCCTACATTTCCTAATCGGAGTTATCCAATCTTTCCTTTCTGACAGAACCTTTTGTGTCCGCCTTTGTTCTGCTTTATCCCCGTCACGGCCGGTGTCCCGCAAGGCTCCAAGCTGTCATCACTTCCGTTCAACTTTTTCTGAGCAGAAATACTGTCTCATCCCTCAATCCTCACAGCTCTTTTCGCTGATGGCATCGCCCTATTAACTTCGCCCAAACCATTCTCCAGTGCTCCGCAAAAATTAACAAATTTCTGCTCCTAAATTGGTACCGAAGATGGAAACTCTGGATTAACCAGGCCAGGTTGGAAGCAATTTTCTTCTGATCTACCTTCACTCTACTTGCCATTAAATCTCCCTGCCAATTATCCCATAACATATATCATAATCCTATCATGTATTTGGATTGCGCTATTTTTCTCAAGTCTTTCCCTTTTATCATTTCCTCTTTTTAACCAGTTGCCCTATATTTCCCTTTTTCTCATTCATTTAACTGCTCATGATTAATTTTTAAATCTTTTAGTGCCTCTTCTCTTCCCTTCTATATCTATTTTGTCTTCATTTATTCAATGTTCTCTTNAGGGAAATGCGAAGATTAGCTCAGGATAGGAAAGAGTGGAGGTGCGTGTCCAACCAGTCTTAGGACTGACGACCTTATGATGATGATGATGATGATGGTGGTGATGACTGAAATTCTTAGCAAAACTTCAAAACAAATAACTCAACTTAATTGTTGGCACCTCAGACACCCTACTGACAATTTAGTAATTAGATATTTGGATTATCAGTGTCAATTATTAAATATTATTTTCATTAAGAATGAAAAATGAAAGTACGTATTCAAATCGAAAAAAATTTTAAGAAAGTAACTCTAATAGAGTAAGACTAATTCATTCATTTCTTTCACTTTGAATATCTGCCTAACCTACTCACTTAAATACGTAAGATTCTAATAAAGGCCTAGTAGTAGTGTTCGCAAATCTTAAATATGCTTAAAAATCAATTGCGTGGGCACCACGAGGTGTAAAATTATATGCATTTATAGAAATATGTCTTACTGAATCGGAATCCAAAGGTAATAAGAAATTAACGAGAGGCTACTGCACTTTAACAGAAATATGTGCGCAGCTTGCAGTAGATGATAGTGACTCAGAGTATTTATGTTATAGTCAACCTCTAGTATTATTCTTTTAATTGTGTAATTCAATAAAGTCATTCTGCAATACAACATCAATAATTAGTGTAGGTCAGTACCTACGTCTCTGTAAGACAGTTGTTGCTATAATAATGTCACATGATACTTATTTACGGACGAAATCCTTGACTTCAAAGAAGACAATCCCTAAAACGCGCCTTGGCAATACCTCAATGGCGGTGTGGAAATTTAACTTAATATAGTCACAATTATCTAGATGATGCTCATTTATCGACTAAGGTTTACCTAACTTTCATTTTTTTATTTCCTTTACATTTATATAGTGCTGCGTGTAATGTACTTTTTTAATTTATTTATGTAAAACATTATGTGTAACATTAAATTGTTTGTATTTATCTTAGATGTTCGATAATCGGCAATGCTTGCATTTTCCGCCGATGTAGCTGCAGAATTTTGACTACAGCTGCTTCGTAATCTATTTGGGAGGTTTTTGGTTAAAAAAAAATGGAAACTTAATATATACTATATTTTCGCATAATTTGGCTGTATCATTTTAGGACCCCTTCACCCATTTATCGTTAATAAAACTGGTTTATCTATAAACATTCCCCAAGATTTCATAAAACAGGTAATCTACCTCAAAGAATGTATGATGCAAAACGGAGCACAACCGTCCTTGCTCTTCTTCAATTTCAGAAAAGATGATATCTCTAGGATCAAGCCGATAAAAAGCAACTTTTTTCCCTCCATACAACATCCACAAATAGACATGTGGCCAACATCCTTGAACCTAATATAATATTTTTTTCTTCAAAAGTTATTGTTGGATGTAGTCAATACATACATGTTTGGTAAATTTCTCTAAGCGGTAATAAATTTTTTCCAATGTTGTAAAGCACTTCGCTTTCGCTGCTGGATTGTAAATTCTTTCACATTCGTTTATTATGGAACGCTATTAAAAACATTAATATTTTCATTAAAAGTACACACATGGTTCAAACTCACCATTTCTTCAGCAATAATACGATGTTGTTGAAAATCTAATTCGGTATCCCATGGATTCCATTTTGACGAAATTATTAAATTTATATAATTTTCACAATCTTTACTCAAGACACTTATGGTTTCTTTTAACATATTCTCTATATGATACTCGACAGAATATATACTATTCTTTTTTTCATATAAAACTGCTATTTCATCCAATTTATTTTTCTGAAAACGCTGAACTTTAGAAAGTAGTTTTTATTAAATAAAGTATCTTACCAGTTTTGTAGCAATCTTATCAATTAAATTACGTTTAAATAACCTTTGCCTAAAATCATACCATTGTGACTGAAATACCAAACATATTTTATTCGTGCCAATATTTAAATAGTGTTGCTTTCCTTCCTTTTGGGTATGATATAATGGGGAGTAGTTTTCAAACCGTGTTTGTGTGTCCGTCTTTCCACATAAGCCACCCATTAGTAATTCAAATTGTAAAGATTTATGAGTATATCTTTTGTTTATTAAATTAACATTATGTATTGCAGCCCATAGTACCACAGTACGTTCAGTCCATGTTTCTACCTAAACGTTTTAAAAATTAAATGCATAAAATGTAAGAAAAGAACAGTTAAATAAAAACTGATCAGACATCTTTGTAGTCGTTTTTTACGAAAATTACTGATATTTCCGAATATTTCTCGGAAAATCTGTTTTCGAGTAATAAAGTCAAAACTATTTCTTTCCTGGCTATGAGGTAACCAGTCGGTGCATCTCCATTGTTATTAAAAATAGTCAAAGCTGGTAGGAGACCTCTTATAATTAAAAACTTAATTAGACAATTAAGTATAAATTCAATTCCCCAGATAGTTTTGCTGTGAATTCAGTTTAGGTCGATATCCCTAATGAAGTTGATAATCCATATAGCTGATTGTCAGGTTTCACATAACTCGAACTGATATTTTTAAAAACAATTAAATGGATTAAACTTTATTGCAAAAAAATTATTGATTTTTTTTAATGGAACCGATTTCAATTAAAAGAGCGTAAAAATTTACTAAATACATGTCTTCGCATTTTTCACAAAAACAGTTCCCTATATAGTACACTAGTAAATCGGCGGCGGTCACCTTGGAAGGTTTCGTCAGTTTTGTCAAAATACTAACCATGAGCTCATCGATAACTGTTTATCTGATCAAATCTAGGATGGGATAAGTGAAAAAAATTACAACAAAAGGTTTGCTTAGCTACGTGTCTGTCACGTACTAGCTACTCCGTGTGTTTAGTTCTATAAGTCGATAGTGTAGCGAGCACGAGTGTGTTTGTGTGCGATCGGGCACACGTGTGTGTGAACGGCTTATCGATTCGCCGACTAGCCGCGGGCGCCTTTCTTCATGTGCGCCGTATTTGTAAATGAGTGTGTCGTACCTGCGTTCTGCGAAAGCAGTTAAATAGTTCGAAGAAAAAAAGAATATGTCCGGATGTTTCGAGAGGGCTCCCGAAAGGAAGCAAAAGAGTATTTAAAGGAAGAGACGATCGCCGAGAGCAAGTAGAAATAAATTGACCGTTGCAGAAGTGAAAAGGAGAAATAAATTGACAGTGATAGAAGTTAAATAAATAGCGCAGTGAATAGTGATATATCAACAGTAGTGTAAATAAATAGAATAATTCATAGCCTAAATTTAGTGTTTAAGTTCTTTAATATCGGGTTGTTCGGAAAGTCATTTCGTTTTTTCCCAACAGAGGATTGAATTGTATTCTTTTGCACCCAACTTCACATTTAAGCCGTATAATTTTTATATGCTTTGAGAGCTCATATAGCAAGGCTTGTGTGTGAAAAATTCCAATTAATTNTTTCATTCATAGCATATCCTAAATATCTATATTTTTTACCTTTTCTATCACCTTTTCTTTCCATTTGTTATTTCCTCTTTTTATTTAACTTTTCTTCCTTTTGTTTCTCCAAACTTTATCCATTTTGTTTTCACGCTGTTCAGTTCTAACATTTTCTTTTCTAAATACCTTTCTATTCTTTTCATCATTGTTTTGATTGCTTCAAAATTTGTTGAAATTAACACTGTCATCTGCATATGTAATCATCCAATTTTTTTTCTATCTATTAGTATCCCTCCCTTTCTTACCTTACTCATCTCTCTTTCTTTAAATCGCTCATTTTACAGCCTTGCCTAACACCACTATTCATCCAAAACTTTCTTATTTCTCTGATATCTAATCTTATTACTTCCACTATCTCTTTATATGGCTTCATTATTCTTCTAATCAATGCTTCCTCTATCCCTCCTTTATTTAACATTCTCTGCATTTCTTCTCTATATATTTTATCATATGCCATTTTTAAATCAACAAAACAATGAAAACTTTCTTATTCATCTCTATTTAGTCCTGCATGGACGTATGAAAATAGAATCTATAGTTTCGCTACCGTTTCTATAACCAAATTGTGTTTCAGTTAAGCTACACTTTCTCTCAATTTGTATATCCAATCTATCTTTTAATATGTTTGTGTACACCTTATACCCTGCATCCATCAATGTTATACCTTTGTAATTTTGCACTTGTTCTATTTTCTCATTTTTATGTATTAGAACAATGACTCTACATTTCCATTCATTCGGTATAATGTTTTTTTTTTTCAATATATCATTAAATATCCCTTTAACTTTTACATTTATTATATCTTTTGCGAAAATCCATGCTTCTTCTGGTATTCTATCGCTTCCTGTAGCTTTATTTTTTTGCTAGTGAATTCATGGCTTGCAATATTTCTCCCTACTCCAACTTCTCTCTATCTCCCCATCTTCCCCATCAGTCATCATAGTATTATCTTTTTATCTTTCCTCCCTCTCTTTTAATATTCCTTTAATCTAATTTAACCATTCTTCATTCTTGTTGTCTTTATTTATCTCTTTTACTTTCTTTTTTCTAATTTTACCAACAATTTTCCAAAACTTTAGTCCCCTTTTCCGCTCATATTTCTCTAATTATCTAATCAACATACAGTTTCTTACTTCTTACTATTTGCTCTATATATTCTCTTCTTTTCCTTTTAAAATATTCTTCACTACATTCATTTCTTCTTCATCTCCATAAGGCGTCTCTATGTTCCTTCTTTCTTTCTTTCTTTCTTTCTTTCTTTCGTAACATATCTCATTCCACAATCATTCACTATCTATTTCCACCCTGTTTCTTTCTCTTTCATTACTTTTTTCAAATCACCCCGTCACTCATTTTACTTAATTTTTCCTATAATCTGTTATTGCTTTCTCTCACCAGTCCAGAATGACCTTACACTTACTTTCCTTCCTATTTTTCCTCTAACGCTAAATGATCTGAGATAATAGGCTACTTTGAAATATTTTATTTCAGCTCAATCTTTCCGTTTACCATTGCATAATCAATATCAGATTTGCCATGTATCATGAAGGTCTACTCCTCTTCCCTAATAACTAATACACTGTTATCTTTATTGCTATATAATTGCTTCTCAACTTTATCCAATTTAAATTTTTTATTTTTATGCAGATATACAAATAAAATTATCCAGTTGTACAGGTCACCTGTAATTACGTTATTCATAAATTGGGGGTCACTTTCACACATGTTTAAATTTTCACTTGCACCACTCAGAAACATGTCGCGCGAAAAAGCCTGTTCTAACTCTCCAGGTGCTCGGAGACAACTCACCAGCCGCTCGTTCGTTAGCTAGGAATGCCCTCTACCGAATCCAGTCGGTGCGCGCACGCTCCGAAGTACAGTCGCGGCGGAAGAAAATCAGTCGATATTAACATAANTATCTACACTGCCTCACTTAGAGAGCATTGTAAATGTCCAAATAGACTACATCGGCAGATTGGTGGGGATAGTTGAATCAGACAATCAAGATTTGAAACAGAAAGCATTATTGATCGAATGTTAGAATACCCAATTTGAAAGACTTTGAACAAAAGATTTGCAAAGGCACAGATTTGGGTGTATTTGAATCGGTAGTTGAAGTCGACTACTAGAAAGGACCCAAGGCATCACTTCCTGCAACTTTATTAGAACTGGTAAAACGGTCAAGTAATCATCTCAACAACCACCAGGTCAAACGATTGGAAGAACTTTTGAGCAGTTTTCAACACGTTTTCGCGTTTTAACGACTTTACTTACGACTTGCGACTTAACATACCACCGCATCAACACTGGAACAGCAAGGCCCATCAAACAAGCACCTAGAAGAGTTCCTCAGGCAATGCAAGAGGAAGTCAATAATTTCATAAAAGGCATACATGAACACGGGGTAATAGAACCATCTCAAAGTTCTTGGGCTTGTGTTGGTACCCAAAGATTTTCTGTGGACTACAGGAAGTTGAATGACGTAACGCGGAAGACGAAGACAAAGAGTTGTGGACGAATGCAGCAATACAAAGTGGGGGCACCATTTGAAAGAATCGCAGTCGACATGGCAGGACCATTCTCAGTGACGGACTCCGCTAGCCGATACATCTTGGTGGTCATGGATTATTTTAGCAAGTGGCCTGAAGCATATGCGATACTGAATCAGGAAGCACACACCGTTACTCAGAGACTTGTCAATGATTGAATTTGCCGATATGGAGTACCACTGGAATTGCATTGTGACTAAGGCACGAACGAATCGGCTCTGTTCAAGAACATCACTGAACCAATGGACGTTACTAAAACGAGGACTACCCCATACATCCACAGTCGAATGTCGGACTCTGGAAACCAAATTAAGAAGCGTCGTCAAACTGACCGGGACCGACACATATTCCTCCTGGCTTATAGATCCGCCATACATGAGACAACTGTAAGAACACCAGGTTGCCAGCGGACATGACAAAGTATGGCTATATAATCCATCAAGGCGGAAGGGACGCTACCCTAAACTACAAGAGACTTGGGATGTTTCATACACCGTTACTCGAAGCATTAACGACATTGTTTTATCAAATCCAGAAGGGACCTCGGTTAAAAATGAAGATCGTCCATCTTGACCGGCTTGCTCCCTACACAGGCAACGTCACTGATCGAGACGAACAGTATTAGGAGGGGGAACAATGTCACATGTATAGAGGCAACCCAACATACATAGTGATAAAGAAGACCAAGTTTCTAGACGGCATGTACTGGAAAATTCTAGAAAACGTGAAGTCCCTATATATAGTTGTCGCGAGATCAAGTGGAGTTAGTAAGAGTCAGACAGTTCAAGGCGATATAAAGATAAGAAAGAACAATGAAATGACAAAGCGTTTATATAGTGGTGTATTGGTAAGTAAAAGTTGTAAAAGCCTGCGAACGAGTTCAAATACGTGACAATATACATTCGGTAACATTGTTATTCTGAGCATTCAACACTTTCGCCGTCACACAATCTCAGTTATTAGGTTTTTATTATATATATATACTTAAGCTGTAATTGTTGCAATTGTAGATTATGTAAATAAAAGCGTAAATGGTAAGCTACAGTGTTGTTCATATCGGTGAGCGGTGTATCAACTGTAAACAATTTTTTACATCTTATTAACATCCCCCGTTTTTCTCTAACTCTTTTTTAATCTTCTAGTCTCAAATTTCAAATTTGTACCAGTTATAACCGTCACTTAGCAATTTATCTATATCAAAATCTTTTTCTTCACACCTTGTTTCACTCAATAAAATAATATCAAATTTTAATATAAAATTCCAAAAATTTTTATTCTTACATTTTTATAATCCTAGACTGGTTGGACACACATCTCCACTCTTTCCGATTCTGAGCTAATCTTGGCATTTCCCTAAAACTAGAACAACTCACATCCTTAACTATTTGCGAACAGCAATCTAATCTAGGTCTACCTCTACCCCTCCTAACTTCCTTTTCGGCCTCCAATATGTCTCTGACTAGACATTCATGCCTGCGAAGGTGTCTTACCAACCTATCTCGCCTATTCTTTATTGACCGCTATAGAGTCCTCCGTTCTTTCTAATACCTTTTAATTTCTAACCTTCTATCCACGGTATCCTCATCATTCGCCTGTAACACCACATTTTGCTTCTAACCTTTTCTTTTCTGATGCTCTCACTGTCCATGTTTCACACCCGTACAGCGCCGTGCTCGAAACATAACCTTTAACAACCTTTTTCGAATTTCTAAATTAACCGTTCGCGAGCATAGAAGTGACTTCTTTCTATTGAAGGCCAATCTGCCCTGCGCTATCCTCTACTTTATATCCCTACTCCTCCTTCCGTCCTTACTTATCTGACTACCTAGATACCTAAAATCAGCCACTTATTTAATTTTTTCGTCTCCTATCTTTATATTCGCTCTTTACCTACTTTTTCTTCCCTTGCATACCAGTATTTTTGTTTAACTTTCATTTATTTTCATACATTAGTGTATTGTCAATACCGTTTCCATTTTATTAAAAGTTATCTCTAAGTCCTCCTTGCTAGATGCTAATACTGCTATATAATCTGCAAATCTAAGCATACTAGATATTTTGCCCGTGTATATCTATCCCTATCCCTGTTTAATATTTACTTTTCTACATTGCAGCTCCAGCTCCATAACTGGTTGTTGCTCTTTATACGAACATATAAACTAAGTATCATTCTTCTATTTTTTTAACTCATCCCTACATTTTTAGATTGTCCCATTTAACATTGTCAAAAGCTTTTTCTAAATCTACAAATCCTATGTATGCACTCTTTCCTTTTTCTATCGTTTTCTCTATTTCCCATATTTCTTCTAAACCCGAATTGATATTCTCTTAATAGTTCTTCCGCCCTTCTGTACAATTGTAGTTAAGATTTTTGACGCACGGGAAGTTAAGCTAATTGTTCTAAATGTATCACAACTATTCACGCCTCTCTTTTTAGGTATGATTACTACCACATTCCGTTTATAATCCTTTGGGACTTTCCCAATCTCGTAAATGTGACTAACTAGTTTAAACATACCATATCTAACCTTTTGTCTTGCATAGTTTAGAATTTCCGTCTGTATCCCATCTATACATGGCGCTTTATTGTTTTTTAAGTTTTTTAATACTACATCGAACTCTTCTCTCATTATGGGATAACTTATTTTATCTATCTCCACACTATATTCCTTGTGTATATATCACTTAACTCATGGCCTGCGTATAGGTTCTCTAGATATTATTGCCACCTATCTGCATTTTCCTCATTTTCTATCAAAATGACCTCTGTCTCGTTTTTATATTATTACTATTATACCCTAGACCTCTACAATTCATTTTAATTATATTATAAACCTCATCGCTTTTACCTACTTCAAACTTTTCTTCTACTTCTTTACATCTCATATGAATCCATTGTTCCTTAGCTGCCCTACACTTCCTAATTATTTCCCAATTTCTAGCTTCATATCTTTTTTGCCCTTCTTCGTCTGTCCTGTTTTTGTATTTCCGCCTTTCGTCTATTAATCCTACAATGATAACACATATATATTATTT